TTACCTGGCTAGCAGGGAAAAGGGGTCGAGGCCGGTCCTGACCTGTTACAATGAAGACTGACTTGCTATGTGGGATTACACCAGAAGCTTGCAGTGGAGTAATGGTAAGGAAATCAAGCAACCTTAAATATCTCGGCTGTATAGGAGCATATTCTATTGCAGAAGACCTTCCTATGAAGATCATGGAATCAAATACGGGACATTGAACTAATACTTGGACTTTGATATGAATTTCTTTAACAATTTTCTCTGCAGTGCAAGTTATTAAACTAAAGCTACTCTATTTTCCAAATGTGTTCCAACAGAAATCCTTCATAACTTCTAGCATGGTATCTTAATAAAGAATAAAGTTCTTCTCTTTAAAAAATCTGCTCTAAGTAGATTTTTCCCCTGTTTTTTTAAATTAAGGATCCCAGCAGTGGTATTCTGAAATATTATCTTGAATTTGTGCATTTAAATTTTATTGCAGTGGTATAGATGAATTCCACTGTTGGTATCCTTAAATTTTATTTCTGCTCACCAAGGTTAATCATGATTGTCTATATCTTTTTATAGTAATAATCACTTTTGAATTGTGTTCAGATATGCAGTTTCAGGTGTAATCATCAGAGCTGGTTAGTCAGGCATTCCAGATAGTGGTTCTTTTCAGAACCTTTTTTAAAGGGTTGGTTAACTACCTCAGTAGCAGAGGATTGAACTATACCCTGTCTGTACTGTACATAGAAAAATCTTTGTAGATAAAAGCAAGGCTTGTTAAATATGATATGAGGGTAAGATTTTAATATACCAAATGTAACATTCTTAGTTGCCTTTAGTTTCAGAGGCTTGTAAGACTTCCTCATGACCATCATAACAGGCCTTGCTTTTGTCGTATTTTGTGGCTGAAAAAGCAGCCTTGCTTCTTCAGATATTGTAGTTATTTGGATGTATAATAGTTTAGCAAGATGTTACTTTTGTAAGACATCAGATGTTCAAAAAAAGTGCATCCGAACTTGTACTAAATACTGCAGTGTCCCTTTATAAAAAGTCAGACTAAAACTGACAATTGTACAGCAAAGCCTGACATTTGGATATTTTGAAGTTTTTTCATAAATCATAGAAATTAGTATATGGCTGTAGTTTAGCTTTTTAGGTAAAAGGTATGTTTCATTAGTGCATTTCTTACTGCTGATCACTGTAAAAATGTGAATCAGCTTTCCATTTCTTATGCAGGTCATGATAACTTGTAGAGTAGAGTACAATCATTTGTGCTATGTTTTTAATTTTCTAAAGCACCTTGATGACAGTGAGTGTTCAGTGGTGAAGCATCCTCTATTGAATCACCCTCAAAAAATTTTTTGCCAAGTCCTAAGTTGATAGCTTAAAGTCAAAAGTAAAATTATAGTTTAATTAGGACTTGGTGTAAATAAATCCCTTCTCCCCTTCCCCAAAGGGATACTGCAGTTATATCACATAAACCCAATAGGCACCACGATGAAGATCAGAGCTTATACTTAATTAAGGTTTTATACACACCAGTTCCCCAGTAAATGCAAATTTAACAAGAAAATTAGACATGTCATATGTTCAAAATGCTCATGGCAAACAATCATTTTGCATTCCTGCAAATAAAATTGTTTTATACTGTAAGCTGGAGGCGAGTGTAACTTATTTTTGTAATAAAGTTTTTATTTTTTTTATGTGTCATTAATATAAATGTGTGTTAGTGTAGAAATCTTCTGGTTTAAAAACTTAGAATTGCACACATTTCAGTATGTTTATTTGTACTTACATAATTTTAGAATAGTGGTTGCCAATAGCCTGTATGTTTCCCATTAATTGGTTTTTTGTTATCTTAATAAACCATTTTAGTATGTTGTATGTCAGTTACTGGGATAGCTGGGACATAGAGTGTAATTTAAAAATTTGTCAATAAGTATTCATTGGAATATATGTAAATGTGCCTTGCCGGTTGTTGAAACTTACCTACAAAATGAGTATGGGGTGACAAAATTAGTTCTTGGTGCTTAATGAAACTTTCTGCCACTGATTTTATATATTATTACCCCGTGCTTTTTAAAAGTACATCTCTCTCAAATCTTAGTGTGAGATTGAGGGCTACACAAAACATTTACATTTCATTCTACCATAATGAATATGCTAGGTTGTGGAAAGTGGGTAAACTAAATGTAGCCTTCAGTAAAATTGAATCTCAGTGTAATCCTTGGTACTGGTATTTTCCAGTTCCAAGGAGTTAAATGATCCCATCCAAGAGGTCATTGCCATGCCTATGGGCACTTTACTGTCATACCATTTTTAAGGGACACTGTCAAGGTGTTTAAGTTAATTCTCAGATTTATTTGTTGGGATTTTAGAACAGGATTGTTTGACAAACTAAAAACTGCATTTTCAAAGTTGAAAGATGAACACTTTTGTGAGTTCACAAATGTATTCTTAAGAAAACATTAAAATACGTAGCTGTGGACTTCCAAGACTATTTGGCATTCTCAGTTTGGGGACTTGGGAAAGAAAACTGATGTAAAGAAATTGTGAAGAATTGATGGTTATACGTAAAGAAGGGTAATGTAAACATTGATGATGAAATATGTATACACTCAAGTGAAATTACTTGACAGTGTTCATTTGAATAACTTTGAATTCAAGCCATTATAATTACTTTTAAAATTAAATATCATTTGCACTGTTCTGATAATGGGTGCAGTTTTTGAGCAATATAATCAGAGCTAAATATGCATGTAGTGATTAGTGATGTGAACAATTAAGTTCTGACAAGAAATACTAACAGGTATTTTCAACCTTAAATTTCTGTAGTAAAACGAGTATCAAACTGTTAACAGACATCAAGGAAAACAGGCAATGCATATAAACATACTTTTGAATGTTGTGTGGCCTATAAAGCAATAATGCAATTTATATGGAATGTCATGGGATATAAGAAATGGAAATGCAAAAATAATCCTTTAGTAAAAATGTCAACATGTTAAAGGGGGGATGTTAATTAATGTAGGTTATTGCTATTTGTGATTTGTTTATGGGTTCTTGGCTTTGACAGCTTCAAAGAATGGACACATGGCAAGTTAAAGAAATTTTGTACATATTGTCAAGGAAAGGGTCCTAAATCTAAGAGTCAGGTCCCTTTCTTGGGATCTAAAATGTTTCCTTAAAACATTCTGATTGTTAAAAAAAAAACTTGAGTTACCTAACCCAAACATACACAAGATTTTGTTTCTGCAGACTACTTGCAATCAAAAGTGTTCATAAATTTAGTTTTAATCAGTTTTCAGAAAGTTACTTTGTGAGAAAACTGTGTTGTCTCTATTCTCCCAAGCATGCTTTTTGTGGAAGATTTTCAGCCTTTGCAGCTTAATCAGATGTTTAAAAAGAAGGGAGAATTCACAAACAAGAGCTGTTGCACTCTCATGGTAACATGTGTAACATGACAAACTTTTCTACTGATAACAAATCTTAACAAAAAACATAAAACATCTTCCTCATAAAATAGGAACAACATAGAAATGGATTGATGGGGTAATCTGGGGCATTCCGTTTGTATAAGATATTTGAAAAGAATTAGGTTGAACTTCAAGCTAGATGAGCAAAATTGACAAATTCACTACAAGTTTTTTCATGTAGCCAAAAGTTAATCAAAAATGTGGCAAAAGATCACCATGACATGTAGCCTTTATTTTAAGGGGAGAAACAGAAAAGAACGGCTTCATGCATTTAGGAGAGGGAGCTAATCCTACAATAAATGATTGTTCCAGTCTCTAGAACTTTGAACAGTACCCACCATGACAGTTTTTTCATGCATACCATAAAATTTTTACCTGACCATAGGAACTCAGTGGTGGGTATGAAGTTAATGAATAAGTAGCAATACATAAAAGAAACAGACTGGGATGGTGTTTAAGGTGTAGTTATTACTTAGTAACCATACCACTCAATAGGGCATGCCACTAAATATGCTAGTTATAAATCAATTCTTGCATTTTTTTTACCTGGGAAAATTAGTAGACTGACTTTAGAGTCTGTCACTTAAAAAAAAAAAAAATACTTGAGACTTAAATTCTGTTAGCACCACAGTCTGCCTTCAGTAATATTAAAATACCTTTTGAGGACCACAAGCATTCAGTTGGAAAAACAATCTTTGCAAATGCAAATCAGTATTACTAACACTCTGGGTCAAAGATTAGGTTTTTAAAGATATTAACAGTAGTCTGGTAAACATTTAGATTCTGACATTGAGAAACAAAAGCTTGTTACCTGACTAGTATTTTTGTTTAAAAATATTAGTTCTGTTAGCTTATTTAAATTGTCTTGACATTTATTTATCCATAGAATTTATATTTATTTCATTCCTTTCATCTCACTGAAAACTGTCTGCAGGCTCTTTGATTTGGATTAGATGTGTGAAGTACTGTCTTTTGCCAAAAACCTCAAATTAACTGTTCTTTTCAACGTAGTGGATTTGTGCTTGTTTGGAGATCAGTTCAAAACTATCTGTACTATCTGTACTGCCTCTGATGTTAAGATTTTATGTATAGCATAAGGAAGCTAGCTCTGACTATATTTTCCTAAGAATAAAGACCTATTTTTGTAGCATGTCTTAGGATCTCCAGGAGTCCAAGAATTATTGTGAGTGTCCTCCATTTCATTTTTCACTTAACAGCTTTTAAATAGACATTTGGGAGTCATTAGAGATCTGTCTTGCTTTTGGATTATCTTATACATTTAAAAAATCTAGTCATTGGTTAAAAAAAGAAAATCCCCAAGATATCCTCAATTGCAGGCACATGAATGGGAGGTGTATAGAATAAATATTGGGCTGGTCTTCACTTAATTTTAATTGTTGATGGAAATATCCTGTGGTCATGTACATGTCTTTGGATTTGATGAAGTTAATGGTAATTTAATTCTGGTTTTCTGGGAACATGGCCCACTGTGCAGTGTTCTTTTCTATCGCTGGCAAATAAAATTTCTCTGAAGATTTGAGACTGAATAACTCAGGAGAGGAGAATAAACATCTGAATAAAATGAACATTTAATGATAACCGCAAATGAGGTTCAGTAGGTAGATTCAGTTTAAGTGTATTTATTAAGCTAAGCTGTCAAATCATTGTCAGAATGAGGGATTTATAAATACATTCAGGGGTTTGGTCACAGCCTTAATATTTCTTGGTGATGGGGAGCAGTAGAGGTAGTTTTGACCAGTTAACATCAGGACAAGACTCACTTTAGTGTGGAGTTTAGCTGCTACATAAGATTTCTAAAATTTAATCAGTGAAAACAAGATTTGGTCTGGAAATTCGATTGAGCTTTTTTAGGTTTGAAAGATGTCTTAATAAGTTTGGAAATTAGTGTCCAAATGTTAATAGTTTAAAATGTTTTTAACAACCAATAAAGTTAGGATAATTTTAGAATAATTTATTATAATCAGTGATCTCTTTTTACTTTGTCTATAAAGTGTTAAAGCTCTTTAATATTTATGATTTATCATTTCTTGCCTTAGACTTTAACCTGTGTTCTCAAAAGGAGATCCTTGTGACACAAACTTTCAAGTTGCTTTGCAGAGAATTTTAGGATACTTAATGGAATTGGTATCCTCTGTCATTTGTGAACTACAAGCCAGTCTTTGCTTTTACAAGGCAAAATGGCAAAGGATTTGGTGTGGACAAGGCATTACCATAGATCAAGTAAAGAATTTTGTTGACATTAATATAAAATTTGTAGGAAAGTACTATAGATTTCACATGATAAAGTAAGGCCTTAACACATCTGCAAACACCATCATATGCTGGAAGAGTTCTGAACTGTCGCCGTGATGTGGCTCATTTAGTGCAATTAATTTTAAATATGAATGTTGAATAATTATGTAGTATATATCACAAATACTGTATCATTTGAAGGCAAAATTACTAAAGCTAGGTGCATCCTGTATAGTAGCCAAGTCCTTAGACTTCACTTTTAAAAGAATGTTCTCATGTCAGTAGTCATTTTGGTTGCTTTAATTGGAAGACGGAATTAGGCCTCTAAAATTGCTTTTAACTGAATGTATCATGAGAAATTAGAGAAACAGATCCTAATTGTGTTATCAGTATATTTAGTATTTGGAATGTTTGGAGGAAAACTAGAAAACAATATCTCAAAGATCATAGCTAAAATTCAGCCAAATACACTTTTAGTTATCTAGTCACTTGTCTATGTAATGCAAAACACTTTGGACAAATTTAGTTTATCCTTTGCTTTTTTTCTTGAAACAGTAATAAGTTCATAAAAGTTAGAAGAAATTGAATTATTAAGAACCCTCTGATACTAAAACAGACACAATTCCCTCTATACACTTAAACTTGAAAAACCTTTTGTTTTGAATTTACTAGGTGGTATTTAGGCTTCCTGAAGATGTACTTAGAAGAGCATCTACAAAATTGGGGCATGGAATAGAAAATGTTACTCAGTTTGACTTAGCTGTACTTAGTGTATCACTTGTTGAGTTTCCTTAAATTATATACTCTGGCCATTGAGTTACTTCTCTATGATTTTTTTTTCTTTTTGCCGGTTTTTAGAATGGAAGCTCCTAGAGGGCAGGGAAATCTAAATTGATGGTGCTAGGCAGACATTAAAAAATTTTTTGAAATGTTTTTCAGTTTGCTGTAAATTAGTTTATTTGATGAAATTAGTTAAATATGATATAACTTGGAAATCGAACGTTTTGAGCTGAGTTTGACATGGCTTTTAACAATGAAAACTGATGTTTTAAGATTATGAAGATCATGTTGATCTGACATTTTTAAAATCAAAATTATTCCACAGTGATGGGAAAAGGTGATGTTTATGTTTATAACACTTGATGGTACTTTTAAAAAGTGTAAAACCGCCAAACCCAAAAATGTTCAAACAGCACAAGATATGCAAGTCTGTTCACATTATAGTGCACTTCCAGAGAGTGGGTATCTGTTTTACTACTTCTAATAACTACATTTAAGCAGTAGTTTTCACCCTTTCTGAGGAATTTTAGAATCCTATTCTTGCACAACTTTTAAATGCAGTTTATTACTTGAATTACACTTAAAAGCCTCTTTTAGTTTTGGTAACTATCTGCTTCTCATATAAAGAAAACTGCACACACAATACGTTTCCTTCATCTCCCAGTTCCTCTTAGCTGTCTTTTGTCAGGTTTTAACTCTATACAGCTGATTATTTTATACCTTGCCTCTAAAACCAAGTAAGGCCAAAAACAGCAGTCATCATGCATAATGTGTATAGATTCATTGATAATTCTTTTTCGCCTTTCGGAGGGCAAAGTTCTAAGAGTTAATTTATGTTTCTTCATTTGCTTAGATCCAGGCCATTACTAAAAATACGAAGTATGACTTTTTAAAATATTTATTTGAAAGAGTTAAACAGAGGCAGATAGTGAGGTCTTCCATCTGCTGGTTCATCTGCAACGGCTGGAGCTGCGCTGATCCGAATCCTGGAGCCAGGAGCTTCTTCCAGGTCTCCTACAGGGGTGCAGGGCCCCAAGTGCCTCAGCCATCTTCCACCTCTTTCCCAGGCCATAGCAGAGAGCTGGATGGGAAGTGGAGCACCCAAGACTTGAACCGGCGCCCCTAAGGGATACCGGCACTGCAGGCGGTGGCTTTACCCACTATGCCACAGTGCTGGCCCCCCTTTTTCTTACAAACTTAGTTTTTAAACCCATGGCTTTTTTATTTATTTGAGAGGGAGAGACAGGTCTTCTGTTGGTTCACCCCCCCAAGTGGCAGGGCCTATCCAAAGCCAGGAGCTTCATCGGGGTCTCCCACGGGTGCAGGAATCCAAGCACTTGGGGGCCATGTTCCACTGCTTTCCCAGGCTGTAGCTGGGAGTTGTATCAGAAGAGGAGTAGCCGGGAGTTTCTAATTACATTTATTTACCTGTTCCCAGAAATGAAGGTAAGATACTGTTGCTGTGCTGTGTCCTGGGTTTCCTCTTTTTCCACCTCAGTGCTGAGTTCCGCTGTTTGTTAGGTTCCATAGTTTCCTCTTAGATTTACATGTCTTCTTGCTATGTTATATTTTTAGGTAATAGCTTGACAAAGGTAGAATGGACTGCAAACAATCCTCTGTCTGGGAACATGTCTCATCCTTCTTGGATGGGTGGTTTGGATTTAGAATTCAAGCTTCAATGTAATTTTCCACCAGAACTTGGGAGTCCAGCACTACTCAGTCTGGTTTGAATATAGTCCTTTGTAGCTAATCTTTTTCTTTTGCAGATGTTGAGATTTTTTTCTTGTCCTTTTTTTGAAGTTTCGTAACACACTGTATAGTTGTTTTATATTGCCTTTAACGTGAAATCTCAAGGAATAGTTGCTGAAAATTTTGCTTTTGACTTTCCCTCTTTTCTGTTTCTTGAGCTTGGATAGGAAGAATTGGATTAATTTTCTTTTTTCTTTTGACAGAGTTAGAAAGGTCTTCCTTTTCCGTTGTTTCACCCCCCAAATGGCCACTACGGCCGGCTGATTAGAAGCCAGGAGCCAGGTGCTTCCTCCTGGTCTCCCATGCGGTTGCAGGGCCCAAGGACTTTGGCCATCCTCCACTGCCTTTCCGGGCCACAGCAGAGAGCTGGACTGGAAGAGGAGCAACCGGGACTAGAACCTGGGGTGCCGGCGCCGCAGGCAGAGGATTAGCCTAGTGAGCCATGATGCTGGCCGGATTAATTTCCTGATTCTTAAACTTCCTCATTTATCACTGAAGCCTTTTCTACTTTACAGATATGCAGGATTGCATTCTAGTGTATACATAGACTAAATTTCAGCAGTACTGCAATTCTCATTTATGTACTGTGTTGATCACTCTTGATTGCTAGGGATTTCTTTAACTAGTTTCTTGTAGTTTGAAATATTCACACTGATTATTTTCGTGTTTCTGGTAGTACTGGACCTATCTATTGAGATGGTTGACTAGAAGTTCTGAGTGTGAGAATAAAGACTCAGGTTTATTTTTAGCAGGAGGGTAGGCAAGATACTATCCCAATTAGAAGTTTTAATCTTTTCCAGGTTGTATATTTTGAGAAGGGTCGTAGGCTCTCAAAGTATTGGTCATCTACACTATAAACCAGGTCTTTCCGTCTCACTTATCCTTCCCATGGAAAATGGTTCTTGTTCTTTGTAAGCATGCATGTGCAAAATTAGTATGAGCCTCATTTTTTATATGGGGAAATATGTATTTATCTTGTATTTTGGTATATAGAAAGTTTTTTTTTTTAAGTAGAACTGGGTAGTAAAATATAATATGGTGTACATTATTCTGGATATCAGGAGAAAATCATCTTAATGTATTTTACATCCATTGCTCATTTAAAATCCGTTGTCTTAAGAAAAATTTATCTTAGTTGAAAAGAATGTAGCATCTAGCATGCTAGGATACATAGAGGACATTTTAAGACTAAGGATGTGAATTCAATGAATTGTGGTTGGGCAAAATAGATTATTTTGAAAGGCTTGGACTGATTTGATGAGACACCATGTTAACCTCTTGTGGAACATACTTTTGGTATGTTTTGGTACCACTGGTCTCTCAATTTGATTAGAGTCTAGCCTATAATCATACCATTCTGAATATGCTCT